TGTTGGTCATGCATCTGCTAATACACGACAAGATGCAACTGGCTTTGTTGATGGCCTTGTTACACTGCTGGCTCATGTTCATCTTGGAGTCAACTATGACTCCAAGATCTCTCAGCCTCTGAGCTGTAGGTGTGCTGGGGATTCCTCCTTCCTAGGTGGAGTACCTTACATTTATCTTTGTTGAACCGCATCCTATTTCGTTCTGCCCATTGATCTAACCTGTCCAGGTCAGCCAAGATCTGCTCCCTGCCCTCCGGTATATTAATACTGCCCCATAACTTGGTATCATCTGTGAACCTGGAGATGGTGCTCTCCACACCCTCATCCAAATCGCTGATGAAGATATTAAATAACACCAGTCCAAGGACCAAACCCTGCGGGACCCCACTGCCCACCTCCCACCAGACCGAGAACAACCCGTCCACCATCACTCTCTGGATGCAGTGCCTAAGCCAGTTAGCCACCCACCTGACTGTGTAGGCATCCACTCCACAGTCCTTGCTTTTAATTGTGTGTGTGTAGCTTTTTAATTTTATGTTCATTTCCTTCACATTGAAACCTGAACAGACTAGTTAATTTTATTTTTGCTATAACTGATTTCTAGACAAATTCATGTCTAGGCTTTATAAAATGGCAACTTGCCATCATGTTTAACTTGTGAACACAGCAAAGTCTTGTTTGTTTGTTACAGTATTTCTACTGGACTTTAGAAGGAAATCATAATATATTTCTACTTACTTTAGAGCCTATAAAACTGTTTGTAGAAAACCTTATTTTTAAGTCAGGTATTATTAATAAGAATTCCTTTGTAAGAAATTTGTTTCTGTACCCCTATCAAAATGTATTACAATAATGGACCAAAACACTAGAGGTTCTCATCATGCTGCAGCAGTGGTTTAATTTTTTGTTATTTCTATAAAATACTATAGTTTTATTTATAAGGATAATAGGAGCCATGTAAGAGTACAGGAAAATGACACTGTACTTCAAGGGATTGTTAATATAGATTTAGGAAAGAAAGAAAATGTTTGTGAGCCCCCTAGTGTTTGAAATTAAATCACATAGAGCTTGGAAATTAAATGTTTGATAATCAACAATTATTTCCTGACTTTTGCTGTATGTCTTGAAAATAAACTGGTAAATTCTCTTACTTTAATTATACCAAACCTTTAGTGCACTGCCAACCTGACTGATGCTAACCTCCCTTCTCAGCCTAACAGATACCTTAAGGAATACAATACTGCTACTTGTATGATTTTTTTCAGTTCCCATTAGAAAATGTCTTATTATTTAATACTACTACAGACCACCTTTCATTATAAATACAGAGATTATAAACCTTCAGGAGACCTTAACAATTAACTTTTGAGTAAATCGGCATTTAATCTACCGTTGCAAAGAGCCAATACAGACATTTGAGACTTAAAGAAAACTCCCTAACATACCTAATAAATTGCCCAAGTTCAGAAGCACCTGAGCATTTTCAAGTAGAATAACCTAAGATATACATGTCAGTGATGAAATGATTGTTAGTGTGCTAGAAGAAAAACAAGCATATATTAAAACAGAATCTTTTCACTTTCTGTTATCACATAAATATATGAATATTTGACAGTAGCTAGGGTTATACAATAGCACTAAAGTTTAGAGTGAGAAGAACACAACTGTTGGGGCCTGCAACTGACCCAAAAGGCCCCAAGTCACTTAGGATACCCTATTCACCATTTTCTCTCAAATATTTGGTCTCTCCACATCCTGTATTTAGAATGACACATATCATGTTTGAAAATACCTTGAAGTTGAGACTCTTACAGGTTAAAGGTCCTTTCGAGCATTCTTCAGGGTGAGATAAATACCCCATGAATAGCTTCAAATGAGATAGGTTTCCACCCAAATACATAATAATCACAAATAGTTCACTACGTCTGTAGCATAAATGCCTTTTGTGAGGCAAATTATGAATTTAGTTTACAGGTGAAACTCTCATTGACTTAATTGATGGCTACAACCATGCACCTGTGAATAAATTCAGACCTTGTAAAAAATCTAGGAAACATCACACATTAAATGTTTTGTCTTTCTATCTGAGATCAGAACTATCTGTTTTGTACCCTGGGCAGCAGCAGTACACAAAGCACTAGCTGCAGCCAGGCTGCCAGTCGCAGCTGATATTTTTGTGCCCATGCCCCACTTCTTTAGTTATGTTACTGATGACTATAGCTATGCTACATTCCTTAGTCTTCCTCTGGATCCCTCTGTTCTTGAGGAATAGAATCTAAATTTTCAAGGGTCTCTCCATTTTTGATTGCTCTGATTATCTGAAAGGGCTGAGAACTCAACCTCTAAAAATGAGGGCCTTATCAAGTTGAATACACAAAATTCAAGGCACTCAAAAACATTTTTTAAAAACATTAAAACTCTATATATTAGAAGACATTTGTAGGGGAAACATAATCTGTATAAAACAAACCGCAAGATTTAGAAACAGAGCTTTGAGATATTTTAGAAGAAAATGATTAACCAAAGGTTCTTGTTAGTAGAAAAACTTCACCTCCCTATAATTACTGTGTGTATAAAGATAAAACGAAACAATATCACTTACTAATAACTAAATTAACATTTAAGCACTCATAGGCTACGAAAAAGTTCACACAGTAAGTCTGTAAATAATTTTGAAACATATTTCTGTACCAGAACATGCTCAAGTCAGAGATAGTTCAGGTTTGACCAAAGAAGCCCTAGTACTTTTTACTTACAAACATATGAAAAAGAAAACAAACAGATTACTAGACAACAACAAGCTAAAACCCCAGACATTGAGCTTCATGCCTCCAGATTTTATGTAACGGGCCAAACTCTCCTTCTGTCTCCTGAAACTCATATTGTAATTGTCAATGATTGCAATGATACCTTCCCTTGACATAAAAACTCATCAACTGCAGGCTCATTGCTAATAAACTAGTTTAAAACAACTTATTAAGACATAACCTTTAAGTGTGTGCGAAAACAATATGCAATCAAACATGCAGTACAAACATCTATGAAGCCAAAGCGAAGCATTAGGATTACTGCAGCTTTTTCTGAGTGAGTCAAAGCATATGGTGGTATAATGGAGCATGAATTTACAGCAACAGAGATGTACGATATAGATTAAAGCTTCATCTGTGAGAACATACTGCACAGCAAAAAACAACAATTATTGTGTTCGCTGCTTGTATTGTGATGATGGACCAAGGAGCTTTCGTGGAGCTGGGGCTCCCTCTGCTGCTAACATGAGGTTGAGAGAGCTTCCTCAGAAACAGCAACAGAAATGAGGTCTCCCTGATAAGAGGCAGCCAAGGTTCTTTGGGTAAATGTGATATGTTTCATTAGCCCAACTAAATAATTGGAAAAAAATGTTTTTTGCAAGCTTTCAGGCACAAACACCCTTCCTCAGGCATGTCCTTAGACCTTATGTCCGTAGACCAACCGATTCTCCCTGGTAATACTTTTATTTTAAATATAAGGATATGGCAGTAGGCCCAGTCGGCTCTCTGCGTATCTTGAGCTAAGTCTTCCAATGGATTCAAGACTTCAGGGCTTGTGCAAGTGTGGGATGTAGGAATGACTGACTCCAGCTCCACAAAAGGACAGCCAACTCATCTCACTGTGCTAAGTGCTCCTCCCCTGCACGATATTTTAATTCAACTCGTGAAACAGCAAGCCACCAGATGTACTTCACAACTGCTTCTTGTTAATGAACTGTCTCTGAGTGTCTACAGAAATATGATTTGAAAACCTGCAGCCCTTCCTATCCCTGAGGACCAAATGCTGTCATTCAGTGAGCACCTGTAGTATCTATGGCTTTGTTAGAGAGCTGAGCTAGCAATGCTTGTAGGCGTGACTGAAGCACCATGAGGAGGTGCATCCATTGTTGCTACCAGGGTTGCCAGCTCTATTTGAATCTATTCCTGGGGGTTTCATCCCATGACATAATGACATTAATGACTGATCTACTGTACTGAGTAGACTTTACATCAGGAAAGCAAAAGATTTGCTTCTTGTTATCTCACTCACCCCAAGTCACCTCTGCTGGGACTTCAAGCCAGATCTCCCACATGGGAAGGGGGAACACTGCCACACAGCCATCACTAGTAGCTACTATTACTACTACTACATTTTTAAAACCCACTGGACTACTGTATAAATGGGATTCAACATGTAATATTTATTTTAACGAATGCTCTATCATTGACCTCCCGCGTGACTGTCAGCCATCTCCTGGAGATTTATATCTAGTTCCTGGAGACTCCAGGGCAATCCTGAAGGGCTGGCAACCCCAGCTGCTACCCTGAGCTTAGACCAGCTCGCGTAAGGTTGAAGACCTTTGTCACCTTTCCATGCCCAGGTGCAGGAGCCACCCAGCGGTGGCAGGGAGGGGACAGGCAGCAGAGCAGCAGGGAGAACAGGGCTGAGAACAGTGGCCGGGTAACTAGGATCCCTGAAGCCGCACCCAGCGTGGCCAGGTCTTAAATATGAAATGATTGTATTGGAAACTCAAAATGATTGCATTTTGCTGAAAAACTAATGTACACTGCAAAAAAAAAAATTTGCAAATCAAGTATGCCGATGCGTATGCAAATACGTCTTATTTAATGTATACTGTTCACCGTCACTCACCAGCGAGGGAGTGAGAACTGGGTCATTGATCATGCAAGTCGCAACCGAGCTTTATTTTGAGACCAGCCGCCGTAAGGAAGCGCTGACGGGAAGCCCAAAAGTCAGGGCAGCCTTCCCGAGACTACCTCAGCCTTGGCACGTGCCGCATCAATTCACAGACGTGACGATGTACATTGGGCTGCCAGTCCCACCGCGAGACACCTGATGGCACAAACGCCATCGCTATAGTCCCCACCCAGGCCCGGAGCCGGTCGCTAGGAGACCAGCAGATGGCCCCGCCCCATCGCGGCGCCGGCGCTCGGCTGCTCAGCAGTGGATTGGTGGGGTCTGCGCGCAGGCGCAGTAGCCGCGACCCCTGCCCCGCCGCGCGCAAACATGGCGGACGAAGAGCTGGAGGCGCTCCGCAAGCAGCGCCTGGCTGAGCTGCAGGCCAAGCACGGGGTGAGGCCCGGGGCAGCGGGGGGCGCGAGGGCGGCCGCGGGGGAGGGCGGTGACTGAGGGGCGTTGGGCCCTCGCTGTCTTTCAGGACCCCGCGAGCGATGTGGCGCAGCAAGAGGCCAAGCAGAGGTAGGAGGGGACTGGGAGGGGGCCGGGAGCGGCGCGGGGCTGGCCCCGCAGCCCTTGAGCGGTTGCTGAGCGCGCCCCACCTGAGTAACGGACTCTTCTCTGCAGGGAGGCCGAAATGAGAAACAACATCTTAGCTCAAGTCCTGGATCAAGCCGCCCGCGCCAGACGTAAGCAGCCCCCCGGGGCCCTTCCCCCCACCCCAAGTGTCGTGTCGTCTTCCTCCATCAGCACCCAACTGCAAAATGCAGATGTATAGATGATAGCGCAGCTTTTTTCCCTTCTTGCTGGGGGAATGGGGGCATTGAGGCAGGCCAGAGCGTGCATCCCTCTGCTTATTGAGCTCCTGGTCTCTTTGCAGCACCATTTAAAAAGAAAAACAAACTTGGTGGGGCCCTTGGGTTGAGTGTCACAACCCTGAATCAAGCCCCCAGAGCGATGTGTTCAGGTGGAGAAATAAGAGAAATGCATCACCGCAATCCACTTGGTGATGTCTGTTTTAAGAAATAAGTCCTAGGTCAGTCTTTGTGCTGGACAGCAAATGTCCCTAAGCTCTGATAGTTTATTATAACAGAACTAGGAACAAGTCTGGTCCTCGCAAATAGTGGCATTGGATTGATTCAGTGCCTCTTTAGAGGGAGACTTTAAACGTAGCGGCAGTACCAGCTTTCCCACGCTATTCCAGTAGACTTCGAAGGATGCCTCTTGAAGTGAGAATCAGGGTCTCTTCCCCAATGTCCATGCAAGGCAAAGAGTTTGCTGTTGGGTTAATACAATATAGATGCTTATTCCTTAGGACAGCATTTCCCAAACGTGGGAATTGTGCCTTGTGTTTATCATGACCTCAAATGGGGTTGTCACATCAGCAGATGGGGGTTGTCAGGGTGGGGGGCTATGCTGAAGAAATGGGGCCATAAATGGGGTCATGCTGAGGAAAAGTTTGGGAAGCACTGCCTTAGGATATTGAGTATGTTTAGATGCACATCTTTGGACAGTGTGGCAAAGACCCACTTTGAATGATAACAACTTTGGTCATAACTCTTCAATAGGACAGGAGTCCAGAGGTGAACAGTCTCCTGCTCCATTGCCTATTTTTATTAAATTCGGTTTTGTGATTTACTTACAAGAATAAGTAGTGGATAGAGAGTATGGCTTTTTTGGTTGCATTAATAGACACATTGGCAGAGACAAATGCCTGCAGGTTGTCTCGTAGACAGTAACAGGTTTGAACCCGGAACAAATGTTGTAAGGTACAAAAAAGTAAAACCTTAGGGCACCTGTACACGAGTGCCGAGGCCAGTCTGACTTGCTGGAATTCTAGCACGGTTGGGCAGACTTGATTAACGGAGTCTGCTGGAGGGTGGCAATTGCTGCCCTCCAGTAGCCGCCTGCATCTCATGTCGCTGAGCTTAAAAGTGGTAGTGCGGGGAACTTGAACTAAAGCTTGTTGAGTGAACTTTAGTTCAAGCACCACCCACACCATTTTCAAGGGTAGGGACACTGATACAGAAACATGGCAGCATTTTAATTAGAATAGCTCTCAGAGCCGTTCTTATTAAAACACCTCCCACCCCCCACCTCCAGAGTATGCGTAAAAGTGCCCTTAGTTTTGTATAAGTTAAAGCTCTGCTCCCCTTCCACTTATTCTTGTTTCAGAACCTGGCACAAAGAGGAGTGAATTGTGTCATGTGTTTATCACTTTTAGGCTAGATGAATGTAGTAGAGTATAAAAGTAAACCTGTTTTTGTTACAGTAAGCAATTTGGCACTTGTGAAGCCAGATAAAGCAAAAGCTGTGGAGAATTATCTTATACAGATGGCAAGATTTGGACAGCTACCTGGAAAAGTAAGTTAAATTATGTTAGTTTGGGTCTTTCTTTTGCTTGGGGTTACTTTCAGATTATTGTTCCCAAAGAAACAAGTTTGAGATGTTAACACTTATAACTGTTATGTAGTTTGAGAAGGTTTTTACCTCACAATCTAGAAATGTTTTCTTCATCCTCAAAAAAAAACCAGCACCCCTCAGGAATGGCCAAATAGCCCTCCTCTTCTGCTTAATTTAACTTAAAAGTCAGTTATTGTGTAGCCTGGTCGTCTCTAAACTTTTTAAAGTGAAGATCACATTTTGAAGTAAAGGGCAATCCAGGATCTACAGCCCACCCAGCAGGTCAAGTCTGGGGGAACGGAGGCAAATCAAGGCCTCCATGGTGAGGGAGAGAGTGGGGCGGGGTGAGTGGGGCCCCAGCTGGGCCGGGGTAGGGGCAGGTCAGGGGCCGGGTGGCTCATCCAGGTGTGGGGGCAGGGGGTTAGGGTTAGCAGCTCCTGCTGCTGTACACACCCCAGCACAGGCCTGCAGGGCAAGCGCCCCCCCTCCCCATCTGCGCAAGGCAGGTGCTGCTGTGCTCCAAGCTTCAGCAGGGCTCAGAGCACAAAGCCCAGCACGTAACAGCAGCCACCTCTCCCTGCACACACGTCAGTGAGGCACATGGCCCCCAGGCCTCTGCTAGGGTGCATGCAGCTTCTGGGGCCCCACTCACCTGGTGGCAGGGGGCACAGAGGGGGATTGGCCCCCCTGTTCTCCACGTGCATGCTGCCACTTCTGATTGTGGAGCCTTTGATAGTCAATCTCAGTTGGGGGACCTAGCCCCCCAGACAGAGGTCAGCTGTCAGGGGCTCCCCAATAGGTCAGTTGATCATGATTGACTGTTTGGTGACCACTGGTATAGCCTCATGACATGAGAGCGCTACTCACTAAGTACATAACATTATTGAAATGTTTTGGCTTATATAGCAGCTACATTGGATCAAAAAATATCCTCTCTTTGCATAGAGCTCTTACTTGGCATTGTAACTTTGTAACTTATTAAAATAATAGTTTTCTTCTACATTTTTTGGAAACCTGTATTTAATTCTTGTCTTTCCATGTCTTTTGTTTGCGTGGTGTGGGGGAAGAGGTTAGGATCAAAGGACTAAAGAGGACAAAATTCGTATTAGCCAATGCTACTGTTATTCTTGTTGGTTGTGTAATTAATACAAATGGTAGAGTGAATCCACTTGTCATGGTAAGGTCAGATGCAGCTTTTTACCACACCTGCAGCCATTTCAGCGGTACTGTTACTACATCACTCAAGTTCTGCATGCATATCTCTTGAGTGCAAGTAGAGGAGATACCAAGGAAGGGCTGGGAATCGAGCACTCAAACTAATCAACAGGGATCCTAGTTTTCTCTGATTAAAAATGGATTGGGGGGGGTTTAAAATTAAAATCCCCCTGCAGCATCCCCTAGCCCTGCTGATGCCCCCCCTGCCCTACTCGTGCCTCTTGCCCCCCAGCTGCGGGCCCAGAGACCCAAGTCCGCAGCTCCCTGCCACCAACAGCAGGCAGCTGCAGCAGAAGCAGCATGGAGCTGTTTCCCCCACTGCTGCTCAGCTGGGGCCGGGGCTGGCTCCCTGAGCCCTGCCAGAGGGGCCCCCAGCCCGCTGCAAGCCCCACTTACCTCAGGCTCCAGGAGTGAAGAGTGATGCTGAACTGAGTGGAGCCATGGCTGACAGTCTCAGGCCCTGCCTTTCCCCCTCCAGGTAGGGCTGGGGGTTTCCTGCCCTGTTTGTAAGCAGCTTTTGCAGGCTGGAGCTCAACCAGCCTGCAGAGCTCTTTGCAAAAGCAGGGAATCTGCAGGTTTTTCTGCTAGAAGGGGAAATCTCCGGTTTTCTCTGTTTTTCTGTGGGAAACAGAAAACCAGGATCCCTGCTAATCAATAGTAAGTTCACTCCAATAATGAAATACCAAAAGATCAGAAATAGCACGTGGTAGGCTGTGAACTGGAGCAAGCAGTTAAGCAATCCTGGATCCCTTATTCTGCATAACAAGAAATCACTTACATGTAAACAAGTGTGTACCTGTATTAGTATAAGCCTGCTCCGCCTTCAGAGAATGGCTTAATAGTTTTTAAAGTCCAAGAAGACTGACAGTTCTGTAATAGACACTTCCACATTATACCAGCTGCACAAAGACCAGTTATAATGATGCTTTGCTTTCGATGCGTGACACAAGCAATACAATTCTATCAGTTACGCTACTTCTTGCATTCCCCACTGCATCTTAGAGTAGATACATATCCTGGGCAAAAGGTGTTCATATTCCTTGGGTGATTCAGATCTAATGCCTTAGTTATGCAAGTAGTAAAATTTCAGAGGTTGGCTATAAATTTAAGTGAATAGGGCAATGTAGTTTGTTATATTATGAGCTAGCTGATGCTGTTATGCCATGGTCACATAGCAGTGTGCCAGCTACCACACAACTTCACAAAACAACGCAACAGTTTTGATAAAGATAAGTTCTTACATTTACTAATCACTCTTTTTTCAAAACTACAGCAAAAGCAAATGCTGAATGGAGAATGGCTGAGCTCTTGAGGCTGGCTCTCTACACCAAAAAACAGCTGTAAATTGGGTTCTGGGTAGATGGGAATTAAGGTCTTCTGGAAGACAAGGTATTTACAACCTCAGTTTCTGAAATCCAGATCTTAAGAGAACTCTACCTGTCCTTGATTTGGCTCCTAGAGACCATCTAATTTAAAAAAATAGTTCCTGTTGAAAAGTTCCACCTTTTAAAATACTGATTGCCAGTGATTTGGAAATGCTGCAGTTCTGTTAGTTATCTTATAACTTGTCTCAGGAATATTTTTTGACTAGTGGTAGTAATATTCAGCATAACCAGTAACTTCTTTGTTCTTGAACCACTAATATTTTAGTCTGAGTAGTTTATTGAACACCTTTTCCAAGCACATGTAGGGAAGAGAATGGAATACTGCTGATTCAATTGAGATAATAAGCCACTTCTTTCCTACTAATTCTGTTTTTATTTTGCCTTCCTAGGTATCGGAACAAGGTTTGATAGAAATACTTGAAAAAGTGAGCCAGCAAACAGAAAAGAAAACCACAGTAAAGGTAAATGGTCTCTTCCTAAACACAACATAAGATGTCCTCAGATAGAAGAAGTCATGGGCTGGAAAATACGATGTGCATAATAAATACCATTTCAGAGCTGGTCAGCTGATTCCTCCCCTACTTACCTGCTTTTCCACTGGTAGGTGTTGGCAGGTAGTCATAGGATTCTTTGGTAATGATGTAATAATATGCATATACGGCTTAGTGTCAGGAGTGAGATGCATTCACAGGACAAGAACTGTAAATTGTGGTCTTGTAGAAGTAGTAGTAGTAATGTTACCCCCAAAATGGGCACATTAAAGTAGTGTGGCTAGGGAGGGTAGATTTAAATTATAGCAGTAGCTATTTTTTCTACCTTCTCCTGCATCAGTGGTGCTCACTGAATTCTATGTTATTTCTATGCTAGTAAAAGATCCAGGAAACACTTTTAGTATAGCCATAGGATGTTTTCCTACCTTACAAAGATTCAAGTTTTTAAGTTGTTGTATGCTGCATTTATTGTGCTCTTTGTAATTTTTTCTTTCTAGTTCAACAGAAGAAAAGTATTGGAATCTGATGAAGAGGATGATTATTAAATGCTACTGTAAGTGTGTCTGCCAAATTGCCAGGAAAAGGCCAAGGAACATACTGTACCAGGCAGAATGATAGCGCTGAAAACGTTTACGTGTATGTACTTTATGTAATTTTTTTGATAAAGGCCAATAAATGAACTCATGTTCAGTAAAATAAATTTATTAGAGAAAGGGTTTTTATAGCTTACATTTTTGTAGTATCAGAGGCCTGAGTGGTGTGGGTTTCTGCACTGCTTCCTTGTCACGAGCTTTCCTTTGACGCTGCTCAGCATGTAAGCTATGCCACTGGCACCTGCGCACCATTATCTTGCTGCTGCCACCATAGGAGATCCTATAACTTGGTGGGGAGGAAAGGTATTAGGTTGCAAACAGCCACCGTCTGAAAGAATTCCCTGCACAGTCTAAATCACAGTACTTGATTTAGAAACAAGATCTCCACTGTGTGGGGTTAATCCAGCAGTTCACTGGATCTCAAACTAGCTGCCTGGAACCATTGCTGGACGTCATGTAGAATAAAGTGTTTGGGGAACGAAGTAGTGGAGCTGGGGCATTGGTTCCGACAGCCTCTTAGTAAGAAGTCTACTGGAGGAAAACGTACCCAGTATCAGTCATACAACTTAGAGAGAAACCTGATGGGCTATGTATAAGTATTTGTTGCTGTAGAACAAATTTAAAAGTTAAAGTGGATATTCAGTAATGTTTAAACTTGATTAAATAACTAATTAACAGTACTATTCAGATACGTGGTATCATACAGTTTTTACACTACCTCCATTTTTATCAAATGGCTGGAGTATTTCCCCCCAAAAAAACAATACAGTTTGCCCTAAACTCCCTTTGACTTGCATGCAGAAGTAAAATTAGCCCTGTGATGTGCCTTTATTTGAAAATACAGTTATGGGAATGTGTGATATAAATATTGTAACATCCTATGTGGTGTAATAAACATGTAAAGGGAGAGGTCTTTTACACCAAAAATCTCTTTTCTGATGTGTACACAATTCCAATTGTAATGGGCTTGGAACAGAATAAAAGTGTTTAAACAGAGCAAGCATTTTCACCTGATGTGTTTATGTGAATATTGTAAGAATATCTGATTAGTATAGTCAGTGTTTGCTTTTTTTTCCTTTAAACTTGTGAAGTCTGTAATATCCAGTAACTTCCTTGTCTTCAATGGTATCATGACTGGGCTGTAGTGCTGGCTGTTTCTACAAGGGTATTTATTCTGAGCTTTGACAACACTTTGCATACAAATGTTTATGCTGACAAACATTTGTAGTTTTATGCAAATATAAAGGCCTGTTTGTTTACAAATATTCTCCTTGGAAATGTATAGAAGGGACCTCTTGCACCAGTTAATCCAGTTCCTGCTCCTGCATACTACAACCATTTTATACAATCCCATTCATACATGTCTCAAGTTCCATCTTAAAATGAGTTTTTTGCTGCTACTGTTCTTGCTGGAAAGCTGTTCCAGAGCCACACTCCTGATGGTTAGAAACCTATATGTATTTGTGGCCTTTCAGAGAGCCAAACTAGTTTGTACAGTAAAACTTGCTTTTGTCACTGTAGACTAGGGGTGGCCAGAGTTACCCTGGGAGCCACATCCAATCCTCCACACAAGTTCGGGGGGGGATGCTGAGCAACCTGGAGTGGAGGTAACCCCTCCACCCCTGCTGTGAGCTGTGGTTTGGCCACCTCTGCTGGAGACCAATCATCATAATACCAGAAAAAACCTTATACAGCTTTGAGACTTGTGACAGCACTATACATTGGCAAGAAAGCTTCCCTTGGCAACCTATGATAAATGCTGTTGTATTCTCCAGCTCTTCTGTTTTACTAAAAACAACTAACTTGGCTTGGTTTGGAGCCATCACAGAGATGAATTATATGCACTGCTATGATGTTTATTTCTGCATCGATGGTTTTATATTCTAATTGTGCAAGTTATAAAATAAACTTGCATCATTTTCTTGTTATTTGAAAATTGCTTATGTTCCCATCAAAATGTGGGCTATCATGGTCTGTATTAAGCTCTCAGCATGCAAGCATATTTATATTAAAAAGGACTTGGGTATACCCACATCAGGAAAAATGCATAACTCAAATTAATTTAAGACCCATTTAACACATAGTGGCCCTTTTACATCTTTTAGAGCAGGTAAGCAACATTTTTGGCTGGAGTGCTGAAAAAAACCACACCATCTCCCTTGTAAGGTGCTAGAGTGCCGGCATGTCAGAAAAACAAAACCAGGGTGGGAGTTACATGGCAGGATGCACTGCATATTAATATAGGTAATAATCATGAATGTTGCTTTTGCTTGTTTTTTTTTTACATACGGTAAATACCAGGTTTTCTAAAAACTCTAAACCTCGTGACAATAAATAAAACTTCATCTACTGCTTTTGTTCCCGTGTATTTTTTTTTTTGTTAAGCATGTTGTGATGAGAGGGAGGGGGGGAAAGAAAAAGGGGAGAGAGAAAAGAGAAAGTGTATGTCCATCACTGCTCAGGTCTCTCCCACTGCTACTGTCTGTGGCTCAGGCCCATGATCCAGGACAGCATCTGGCTGGATGGAGGCAGTGACACTTCAGCAGCTGGGGTGCTCAAGCCTCCCCAACAGTCCCAGACTGGGAAGAGCCTGGGCCCAAGGCTGGGAGGGTGAGCCTGGCTAGGACGCAGGCAGACAGACACCTTGTCACACTAGGGTCAGGCACTTGGGGAGGGTCTGGGCAGTGCAGGGAAAAGCGCTGTGGGCAGGCCAGCCTAGCCAGGCCCTTGGGAAGGCAACAGCCAAAGGAGAGGGGCTGGGCAGGAATCAGGGGCTGCCCTGGGGCTCCGCAAACTTGGGCTGCGGTAGGGGGCAAAGAGCCCGAAGCAACAATTTAAAAAACATTTTTAAAACAAATTTCCAAACACATCAGCTGGCATTCTGAGAAAAATGTCTCCACATGCCACTAATTAGCACAGGTGCCAGGAGGTGCCTATCCCTGTTCTAAAGCAACTGATTTGAGTTACCTGGTACCTGCTTATTTCTTTCTGAATCGGTTCCCTATGCCCTCCTTCCTTCTGGTTAGGTGCAGTAATACTGATTTTAAAAAAAACAGCCCTTAAACACATTTTAGGTTCCTGCACCTTCTAAATTAACTTATTTCAATCAAGGAAGACTTTTTGTACTAGGTTATAAGAGTTGGACATGTAGGGCATTGATTCACAAACTCTGGGAAGCAGAGGGTGACTCTCAGAGCCACTCTAATTAAAACACCTGGAGCATCACAGGTGTAAGCATCCCTGCACGCTTTAGTTAAAGCACCCCCATTGCCACTGGAATCTGCTGGAGCACAATTATTACCACATTCCAGCAGACTCAATTAATCAAATCTGCTCTGATGCATTAAGCAGCCTCAGTGTACACATATAGGCACCCCTAGCACTTCATTAATCCCTCTGACAGGCAGAGGGAAGCCATCATCATTTTAAGCTGGAAAAAAAAAATAGATGGGTTTTACAAAAATAAGAGTCTGGAGCCCACTTACCTGAAGGACTGCTGCTCTGTTGTGGACAGCCATACTGTAAAGACACCAAGTATCATCAGTATGGGGAGAACATTTTTCGAGGGAGGGCCCATCTGTGACTGGAATTCACTTTGGCTGGTTCGGATAGGCAGCCCAGGCTACAAGCCCGCTGAGGAAAGGCTGAAGAGCTTGTGAGTGCTTGTTTGGTGATTGGGATGTGTGGGCTGTGATGGATTTTAGGCACTGTTTAATAATGGATGGCAGAGCACATAGGATTGCTGTTTGGCGTTCTTTAAAAATAAAAACCCTAATCAATGCTCGAAAGCTTCTGTTCAACATTTCAGCTTTGATCACTGTGTCTCAAAGTGCTTCAGTAGCTCTGATGTATACATGCTCAAGGCTACTTGCTAAGCAAATTAATAAGTATGCAACTCCCTATTAGAAAGGCTCAGTATAAGATTGCTAAAGCCTCTGAGAAGCTCTTTTATGTAAGCAGTTGCAGTAGCATCCCTAACGCAAAGGGCTGAGGATGCAGATGAGGGTCCTTCTCATGTAAATTAGATACAGTTGGAAACAGCAAAGACACTAACACTAAAGTTATCTATACCAGTCACACATAACAACTGCAACAAGGTTATTAATACCTTTTAAGGCTGAGAGTTTTTATAATAAACACTGTTACCCAAGCTGCTTCATCAGTTGCACAGAAATGCATTTGGAGTGTTAAGCATCTTAAAATTGATTTTTCCTTGCATTCAAAAGTTATATTTGCTAGAAGAATTACATTACTAACAGAATTAAAAAGCTTCAGCTAATTAAATCAGCAATTCATATCCACTCTCACTTTTTTCTGACTTCTCCAAAAGACTGAAAGGAATGAGATTAAAACTTCCATCTCCCAATGGAGCAGTTATTATTAACAGCATAACAAAACTTTTTGCCAAGCTAGTCAACATAATGGGTGTAAAACAGCTCCATAATGACAAGGACTTGGCTCTGGTTGAACTAGTGTCATTGTGTGGACAATGTTCTATTTGATTATTTAATCCCCATGTCTCTGTGTATAATCAGTGGCAATATGCCATCACTATTAAAAGCATCTAATGAACTGATGTTTTTTAATCATCCATATTGTCAAGACATCTTACCCAAGCTATGAAGTCAGTTTTTCCTTTGGTAAGTAAATGCTATAATTAAAAAATGGAAGTTGGTCCTCATAATCAATTCTGGAGTCCATCCCATCCATCTTCAGATAAGCTTTACCCATATCTTAAATTTACAAATGAGATTTTACACCTCTCCAGGCACTCTGTAAGCAATTTAGCTGTGCAATCTGCCTTGGTTAAGTAGATAATTATTTCCATTCTTTATTGAGAACCAGAAATGCAACTTGCCTTAGGTCACATTCATACTGTTATGGGGACCAGGATCGGGGACCAAATCTCCCATCTCCTATACCTACAACTTAAGCACAGAACATTATCCTTTTATCACAAGTTATTTATAGTTTGTGATAAAGAGTGGACAGTACAGGACAGGGAGGGAATGACAAGCATGGAAGAAAGCAATCTAGGTCTAGAAATACCCCATTTAAATTAAACATTTCTGTAACTTTATACACAGCCCTTTGTCCGCTCAGTAAGATGCTAGCATGGAGGAAGGAGGAAACGTGCAGAGGCACTTAACTTAAATGTAGCAATTCCAAGAGATCGCTTGAAGCACAAAAATCCAAGAAATAAGTACAAAAGAGTCACAATTTAAATAAGCGGTCAGAGTTAAGAGCATTTTCAAGAATCGTTATTTACTAGTTTCTCTTTTCCATCATTTGGCACAAATCCAAGGCACATTAGAAAATTAGATAAACTCATAAATTACTTAGAAAAATATACACACAACCCTTATTTGCAAACACTTGTGTGCGCACAGGCTGCACACATTTTGCTTCTCACATTAAAAAATTATTTGGAAACAATCCTCTAGCAAGCCCTCTGGCTTCACGGTGCCCCAAGCAGGTCATCAACATTACAGTAAAAAGAACCAAACTTGTCCATACAAATAGTTTATAAAAATAAACAAAATGCTACTTGGATGTGATCACCTGTAAACCAAAATGATCGTGTAAAGAACCTGGTATAGTTATTCAAGTATTTCTATGTTATAATCCCCTTTTAAAAAATATTTTTGAACCGAAACATGTTAAGAAGTAAGTTCCAAATCTAAGCCTCCATCTAGTTATCTGCAAATATCTTTTAAAGTGATCACCTCTGAAATACACATAACATATTCCTCCATGAGTTGTACCTTTATTGGACAGTTAGCCCCATTGATTTAAATGGGTCTATACTTGCTTGAGTAAGGAATATTCATTAACGTATAAGAACAGGCAAGCAGGAACAAGTTCTTACACAGTGGCTATGTCTGTAGGCTTGTGTGCATGCAGAAGTGTGAACAGTTGTACATTTTTGTCTGTTTTACTTGTTAAAAATTAAAGTAGCTTTGTGCATTAGGCAGGTTTGTTTCTGCCTAAAGAAACATTTGAACTGGGATCTGAATATTAATCCAGAGCTGATCTTTGTCAAGGTCTTCCTGCTTTGTTCCCAGCATCCTAGCCCTGTTGTGACAGGATCTCCTAGACCCAGTCCAAATAAATATCCCATTGGAACCAATGAGGGCTTTGTCATCATAAAAAGCTGCAGGCTTCTAGCCCTTCATGTTCCTAAAGTCTACATCTCTATGCCAGGTTGAAGTGCACAGGATTGTACTGCCCTGTTTTTCCAACTAGTGGCACATACAGGATGTAGTTACTAAAGAAAGTATATTTAAATACATACCATCATGGTTTGTGGCGTTATGGTAAAAAATAAACATTTTTTTTTAATTATTTCTGGTAATAAATATAATTCAACCAATTTAGTGACAAAATTAGAAGGAAGAAAAACTAATTCAATACTTTATCAAACAGGAGTGGTTGGCTGGGAATTACTGTATAGCCTTTTTCTTCTTTACTGTAATCATTTTTAATAAGTGCTTTGATAGAATTGGGAGTCATTTTTCTGTCTAAATACTTTGACATCTCAATATGTCTCAGTTTGCCGAGATCAGTAACACATTAGCTGGGTAGGCATCTTCATAATAAACTGAGAGGATTCTATCTCCAAAAATGCAAGCCAAGAACATTCTGTCTCTGCTAAAGATTTAGCCTTCTGATCCATTTTTGAAAGCACAGCTTGCAAGCTTCATTTACTTCTTTAATTCCCAGCAAGAGGATATTGATACCGACACCACCTGGTTTTCCTGTTTTTGGCAGGAAATTCACACTTCTTGTCAGTGTTTTGAAAGCAAGTCAAAGCAGTCTTTTGATTGTGAAATACTTGGATCGCTAGGACTGGTTAAATCGCAATTTTCACTGACATTCTCTGCTGAAAGTGCCACGTTAACAGTGTGTCTTCGATGCATTAGTTTACTTTTAAGAGGAGCTTCTACTGCATCATCATCTTTCACAGGTTCACCACTGCTTTCTGCATCAGTCGTCTTAGCTCTGCTCTGTTTCAATGTTTCAACAGGTTTTAACTTGGTTTTATCAAAGTTCTTAATAGCCATCTGTGTGGAGGGGAAGAATAATTCATATTAAAGGCATTTTGTGATTCCCTGACTACAAAAGTCAAATGATTCCATTTTAAATGTGCGCTAAAAGATGAATTCCAAGGTGTTTTGA